TGGATTACGTGCTGACCTAGCACATTAATCTCTCCGAATAAGATAATCATCAAAAGAAGGCGCTGGACGGTTGCCAGAGAGACATTAATAACTGTCACCCACACCTCCAAAGTGTTGGGAAGGGGTGTCAAGGCCCGCCTCTGCCTCCCCATCCCCAGTGCTGCCATTTAAAGATGGAAGATAAGGTCGCTCCAGCCTGGACTTGGGGATTTTGTATAGATGACATTGGGGGGCTGGGAGGGGGAACTTGTCTCCTAAGTCACCTCTGTGAAGTTCTCTAAACACACTGAGGGAGCTCACCTGGGAAAGGGGATGGCCTAGGGATTCAGAAAAGGAATCTGATTTCAGGAGTCTAACTTCCTGGGTTCAATTCCTGCCATGAACACTTGAGAGCTGTGTGATCTGGAGTTACTTCCTTAACCTCTGAGTGCCTGGGATTCTCCTACTGAGACTGTGAAAGGTTTCAGCCTCTTTGGAAAGCACTTTGGCCATTCCTCCAAGAATTAAATAGAATTACCATGAGAACTGTTCTCAGAGAGACACTTGAACACAAAATGGCTGAGATCTGAGGATCAAGGTTCCAAACAGCCCAGGCAGACAAACTTAAGAGACGCTTATCTCCAGTTAACCAGCAAAAAGGTCAGAAATGGAGGCGTGGCTCAGTGGGAGAGCACCATCTTTGAGCAAAAAAGCTAAGAAGGAGTGAAAGGCCCTGAGATCAAGCCGTAGTACCAACACACACACACACACACACACACACACACACACACACACACACAATAATACCGTTATGAGGTGCAAACAGTCCAAATGGCTACACAATAGTGGTCAGCCCACAGAATGGACTAGAAGTCACCACTGGAAGGAAGGAATGACAGGCCCATCCATGCCAGAGGATGGATAAACTTGAAGCCATTTATCCACAGGACTGGATGCCACGCGAGGGGCAGAAGGCTGATTGGTGGTTACCAGGGGCTGGTGGGTGGGGCCTGGGGGTAGGAGGGGATAGGGGTGGTGTGTATGTGTCAAAGTGGGTGGAACCTGTAAGGACTCCACATGTCCCATTTCTTGGAGGTGATGAAATGTTCTGGAACTCCGTGGAGGTGATGGCTGTCTAGGACTGTCAATGTACAAAATGCCATGGAACAATATGCTTTAAAATGATTAATGGCTCATTGTATATTCTGTGACTTTTACCTCAATTAAAAAAAAGATAAGTGCTCTTGCCTTTCAAGGCTGATACAGAAGGAAATGAGCTAGTGGGGGAGCCAAGCCCGCAGGCAGGGCTGGCACCGCACAGGCTGATCCTGGCAGCCTGCGGTGGGCACTGCGTGGTCTGTATTCTGTGCCCCGACTTACTTTGGTCTCTTCTCTGTAGAGAGGTCAGCAGCATCCAGCCCCCAGTGACGGGTGAGATTAAAGGGGTCACACATGCCACGGGGACAGGAACTTCTGTCTGCTCTGTTCACTGAGGCCTTCAGCACAGCTGGCCCATGGGTGGCCGGTAGCAAATGTTTTCTTGAACACAGGACCTGGCTCGTGGCAGTTGCTCAGAAATATTCGGCTGTGGTTATTACTATTAGCTTGGCCACAAGCTATTTCTGGGAATCCTACATGCTGTTTTCTAGCACAGAGATGTGAGAACTACTTTCTTTGTTTACACATTTCTGTTTTTTGGGTTTTTTTTTTTTTTTGTTCCTCCTGAGACTTGAACTCAGCGGGCTGAGTGCTATCTCTGAGCCTCTTTGTGCTCAAGACTTAGGGCTCTACCACTTGAGCCACATCACCACTTCCAGCTTTTTCTGAGTAGTTTATAAGAGTCTCATGGACTTTTTTGCCCAGACTAGCTTTGAACTGTCTTCCTCAGATCTCAGCCTCCCGGGTAGCTAGGATTACAGGTGTGAGCTACCAACATCTGGCCACACATTTCTATTTTTATGCTAGACTTCTTTGGACATTGGCACAGAAGAGGATTGACCTGTATTGAGAATGGAATCCAAATGCTCACCCTGCTGCAGGAGGAAGTAGGAGACCTTCCATCCATCCATCCACCCATCCACCCACCCATCTTCTTACCATCCACCTATCCATCCATCCATCCATCCATCCATCCATCCACTTATCCATCTACCCATGCACCCATCTTCCATCTATCCATCTACCCACCCATCCATTCATCTTCCATCTATCCATCCACCCATCCACCCATCCATCCATCCATCCATCCATCCATCCATCCACTCACCCTACCCATCTCCAATTCTTCCTTCTGTCCCTCCCTCTCCATTCATTCATCCAGATACCCTCTTCAGGCTCTTTCTGCCTTCTATTTTGATGGACCCTAGGCTGACCAAGGGTTTAAGAAGCTAGGGTGACTTGGTGCCAGTAGCTCATGCCTATAATCCTAGCTGCTCAGGAGACTGAGATCTGAGGATCAAAGTTCCAAGCCAGCTGGGCAGCCAAGGCAGGAAAGTCCCTGAGATCCTTATCTCCTATTCACCACCACAAAAACCTGTGAGTGAGTAGAGTTGTGACTCCAATGATAGAGCATCAACCTTGAGGGGGAAAAGCTGACAGTGCCCAGGTCCTGAATCTAAACCCCAGACACACACACACACACACACACACACACACACACACAGAGCTAGGGTGGTGTGGCCTGGAATGGGTGGGTAGGGTGTGGTTAACAGACCTGGATAGACAGCTGCTGAGATGGGACTCCTGTGCTCATAGAAACACAGCCCCACAAGTCCGTGCTAACCTCAGGAACTGGAAACATACCCCACACCAAGCTAAAGAGAACTTTGCCAGCAAAGGAACGCAGAATCATCCAGGAGGCCTCGTATCCTCTCAGCCTCCATCAAGGTGAAAGGCCGGAGAGCCAGAGTCAGAGAAGGAGGAGCAAGGCCAGAAGCAGGGGAGAGAGCGGAGGGCCCAGGACGCAGCCTGCTGCTGCCTCTGCAGGTGGAGGACAGAGCACAGTGCTGCAATACCCCTAGCTGAATTCCGTGGAACCCCGGTGTGACTTCCCACCTCTAGAACTATAAGAAAATCAATCCCTCTTGCTTTAAACCGCTGAGGTTTGTCATCATTGGTCACGGGCAACCACAGGAGTCAAATTCAGCCGAGGAATCAATAGCGGGTCTCCCTTCTCATTCTCTTCCCACAGGCTGGAGACCACCGGGCAGCATGGAGCCCACTGATGAAATCTCTCACAGGCCAGCCAGGGGGAGGAAGGCGGGCAGAAGGATGGGCAAGGTGGGGACCTCCAGTGGTGAAGCTGTTGCCCCCATTGTATAGATGCAGCAGCCGAGGCTCAGACAGGCTAGATCGCTCATCCAAGGCTAGGAAATGGGTCAGCGCCTACTAGGCAGGATTAAATAGTGTCCATACTGGCTGAGCATCCCTATTCCAAACTCCTGAATGCTCTGACAGGAAGACACGGTGGGGCGGGAGGGGGCGGGAAGAGGGGCGGTAAGGAGTCCATACCCGACCCAACCTCAAGCAACCAGGCACAATCGAAAAGCCCATATCTCTATTTTGAGTCATCTTCAGGCCATGAGTATGAGGTGCATATCAAACACGAATGAATGAGTTCTGTATTTAGACTTGGGCTCAGCCTTCCTACAGTCTTACCATGTATGTATAAGTATTCCAGACTCTGATACTCTTCTGGCCCATGCATTTTGGATCAGGGATACTCAACTTGTGCTATGAGAGTCACCCACTGTGGATGCTGTCTGGTTCCTACAAGGTTAGTATTCTCACGGAAAGAGGAATTATTTCCATCTGTTGCCAGATGAGGGGAGATTTTGTTTGTCTATACACAGCCAGAAGGGAAATCTAGCTGAGATGGGAATGAGGGTAAAGCTTTGCTTTTGGGCTGTGGTTTCATCTAAGAAAGCCTCAACATTTTCAGATTTTTGAGCCAGGTGCTGGTGACTCATGCCTGCCATCCTAGCTATTCAGGAGGCTGAGATCTGAGGATCCCAGTTGAAAGCCAGCCTGGGCAAGGAAGACCGAGAGACTCTTATCTCCAATTAACTACCTGAAAACAGGAAGCAGAGCTATGTCTCAAAGTGCTAGCCTTGAGCAAGAATGCTTGGGGACAATGCCCAGGCCCTGGGTTCAAGCCCCAGAACTACCACCATCACCACCACCGCCACCACCAAACATTTGCCTCAGTCAGATCAGATCAAAGCACATAGGGAGGGGAGAAACCATTCCAGAGATGACCCTGGCTGATAGGTTGGGTCAGCTGTCACTCAAAACTGATGGTCAATTCCAACCTGCAATTTTGCCAAGCAAAGCCTGGGACAAAGGCTGAGATTTCTGAACTTGAAAGACAGCTGGTTTAGTTTGTTTGTTTGTTTTGTACAATGGAATGTAGGGGTCTTTACAAGTCCTTTAGTCCATCCACCTCTATCCAGGTTCCAGTCACGTCACTGCACAGGGGCACAGATGATCTTTATTCCAACCATATTCCCATAACTCCCCAAGATCTCTTTATTCCAACATACTTCCTTACTGTACACTGCAAAGCATCTCCGCTACCACTTCTCCTCCTGTGACCATGGCAGACAGCACTAGTCCATCACAGAGTCCTTTCCTGATGGGTCTCAAGACCCTTTTTACAAGATGAGTTCCTAGAAACCACTGAAAGTCAAAAGCTATGATGGCTACCCTTTCCTGTGAGAAGCAGGATGCAGGACATACCACCTGCTTTTCTCCTCCCCCAGGTGACACTGAGATTAAAAACCCCATCCAGGGAGGCTTTTGGATGGGGTAACTTAGGAAATGTATCCAGAGGGTGAAGGTGTGAGCAGAGGTGGCAAAGACAAAGAGCCAAGCAAGGGATAAGAGAGGTGACCGGTGCTCGCGGCCGGCTGGGCCTCTGCTCTTGCTCATTCTTTCCTCCTCTAGAAGGCACGCAGACTCCTCCCCCTCCCCACCCCCACCCCCAAACCCCTGCCCAATTGATGTGCTGGAGCTTGTCCTACCCTAGACTTGATGGCCAGGATGATCTTGGGTAGGGCCACCACGAGGCACTTCAGGGCGATGGTGAGGTACTTGAGCACAAAGTCCGCGATCCCCACGATCCACAGCAGGTCGAAGAAGTCCAGGGTCTCCAGGTTGGGCTTCAGGAAGATGAGGCTGCGGGGGGGGGGGAATAGGGGGAGGGGAGTCAAATGGCTCACTTAGATCAGGGCCCACAGGTGAGGAGTTATTTCCATACGGTCTTCTGCTAGACGGGGCGGGGGAGGAGGGGTGCTCGAAGGCGGGCCTCCATGAGACTGGAGACGAAGTGGAGACTCCCACTGGACAGTGGAAATGAAGCTACCAGCCACTCCACCCTGTCCTGCAAAGACAGGCAGGGAAGTGCAAGGGAATGTGTACAAAGTCCCACAGGTATGAAGGGAGGAGGGTGGATGCAAACTCAGGCTCCCAGAGTGCAATGCGCCCCGTCCATCAATCCCTGCCGAGCTGCAAGTCTATGACACCTGGCCGTCACAGGGAGAGTGGAAGGAAGCCCACACTCAACCTGTTTTCCTACACACTGAGCAGTAGGTTCATTTCCATCTGAAGTACTCCGTGCTTTCACGGTCTGATATATTTTATTATTGGTTTTGCTTCTCGGGTGGCAACACCGCCAATAATTATAGTGATTAATCCTATAATAATACTCATTATGGTACTACGATACGGTAAACGTGGGCTGGTTTCCCCAGTGTTTTCACGTATATTGTGACAATTAGCTTAACCTGTCCAGGTGGATAGGTAAGAATGAAGCTCGGCGCTGGTTGTACCAGTGTGGTGCCAAGGGTGTGAAGCCAGCCAGTGCCATCAGGAAGGAACTCTGAATGGATGATCAAACTTCACATCCCCGGGAGATCAAGGTCATGGTTAACGGCTGCTTCCATGTCTGAGTCACCTTAGGAAGGTGCAATGGTTTAGATGTGGCTTTGTCTGTCACTCTTGGGTTCCTGAATTGGAAGCTTGCCCCTCCTCCCTGCGGTGCTGAGGGGGGCAGGGCTTAGTGGAGGTTATTTGCCCCTTCTCCCTCCTACCTCACCATGTGATCTCTCTCTTCTTCATGCTTCTCTTCCATGATGCCATCTGCAATATGGGCCTCACTAGAACTAGTCCAAGACCAGTGCCATGTTCTTGACTCTCTAGAACTGGGAGCTAGACAAACCCTTTTATCTTCCTAAAGTACCAAGCCTCAGGTATTTCATTACGGTGTCAGGAAAACAGTCAGACAGATCCAAAGGGGACTTCTTGAAGTCTGATTCCAGAGCTGTGAAGTGGGGCTAGCACTACCCTGCTGGTCCCCAAGAAGGCAAAGTAAGATAAAAGCTGTTGGCATCACCCACAGACCCACTGTGTACTAATGGCCTGAGAGAGGGGCAGAGCTCAGCTTGGTTGCATTTCTTTCACGTTGTTGGGTGTTCTCTTCTCTCTCTCTCTCTTTCACACACACACACACACACACACACACACACTCTGTCTCCCTCCTCCCCCCCCCCTCTGTCTCTATGCTGCCAATTTGAGTCAGCCCTGGTTTGCTGAGGGCACTGAGGTCTGAGCCTGGGAATATGATCATACCCAGAAAATGGCACGAGCGGGAAATTCATCCGAACTGCTGAGAAACTCCACCTCTTATGCCCTCTACCACGACCTTGATGTCTGGACCATGCGACTAATGTAGGGTGTGAGGTGTGTTGATGCTGTGGGCCAGCTCCCAAGACTGCTTTTATGGGGTAGCTGCAGAAAGCATCAGAACTACCGACTCCCCAAGTCCGCTGTCAAAACAGGCGGACGTGATCTGAAAACCTGTCTCAAGATTTCCTTTCTTTCTTTCTTTCCTTTCCTTCCTTCCTTCCTTCCTTCCTTCCTTCCTCCCTCTCTTTCCTCCCTCCTTCCTTAATTCCTTCCTCAAAAAAAAGCCTCAAAATCTAAAACACTTCCCTGGTCCACGGCTTTTTGGATAAAGGGCTGTCAGCTGTAGACTCTTGGGCCCAGCGTCAATGACACCTATTTTCCAGTTTTCTTCAATGTAACGATTAATCATGCATGCTTAGATAGGTGGCTTGCCCTGGGTTTCTCCTAGAGAGGGCTGCTGTAGGCATGTGGGTAGTAGCTGGAGGGCGGAATGGGAAGGTTACAACAGGACACTGCTGGTGCCTGGTCCTTGATAGATACCCTGTGTACCCCAAGTTGAACCAGCACCCCATTCTGCCACTGCTCACCTATTGTAGAGCTGTTGGGAGCTGAATGTGTAGAGCACGTACAGAGTGTTTCCTGCCAGAAAAGCCACGATCCACAGGATGACCAGCACAGACCTCTTCTCCTGGAGACAAAGCAAAAGAAACATGAGATGCTCAAGGGATCTATGCTGGAACATTCTAGAATGTTCTGGAAATTTCGCTGTCTCAGAGTTTTAGAGGAAGCAAGGCAAATGGTGAAGAGGAAGGCACTGGCATCTTCTCATTCCTGTGGAACCTAAGGAGTGGGGACTGTCACACAGATACCCCCTTACCCCACCCCATTCCTGCCCATTCTGGTTTGGAAAACCATCTAGAAAGGTAGAGAATTTGTGGTTTGGTGCTGGATGTCCTGGCTTTGTATTCTTGATATGCACCTGACACAAGCTGGTAAATCTGTTTGCATTTCCCTTCCCTCATCTGTAAAATGGGTATGTTGTAGTATCTCTGTATAGACATAGTGGACACATAATGCTTTGAAGAGCACCTGACACTTGCTAAGTGTCAGCTTCTACCTGTAAGCAGTCTCTCCTGTCTTCTCTGCACTTCTGGCTTTTTTGGTAGTTAATTGGAGATAAGAGTGTCACAGACTTTCCTGTCCAGGGTTGGCTTCAAAGCATGCTCCTCAGATCTCAGCCTCCTGAGTAGCTAGGATGACAGGTGTGGGCCACTGGTGCCCGGCTCTTTTTTTTGTTGTTCTCAGCAATCCTGGGATTATTTTCCTGGTCCCCCTGCTCAAGGCTGGGCCACCCAGCCAGGATTAGAGTCCAATGTAATACATGGCTGAGAAAGCCCTGGGTGGGGACGGCCTGCATCCCATTCTCCAGCTCCGATCCTGTTGAATATGGAAACCTCAGCTTGCTGCTTTTCAGCAGCTTCTGGGCCCAAGAGCCATCCTGGGAGATGGCCCAGGCAGGTGCAGACAGGGTGTGTTCCTGTCTGGGTGCAGTGGCGGGGGGGGGGGACACAGGGTGGGATTGGCAGACCCCTCTGCCATCCATTTTCCATAGCTCAGCCTCTTCCTGGACAGGGCTGGGTGCATTGCAGGAACAGGATGAGGTCATAATTTTCTCAGGAAAACATCCCTGAGGTTTCAGGAAGTGCTCCAGACCCTGTCTCAGATGCAGCCTGGCACTGCTGCTAGGAGGTTTCCAGACAGTGGACGAAACCCTATGTATCTCCATCACCCATTATTCCAGGAGGCCAATGACCGCAGGAACCCTCTCCAACCAACAACTTCATTCACGCGGCAGCCTTTCACACCATACATAATAGATCCCACTTTGATTCCTCACAAATCCAAACCAAAGGTGGGACTGATAGAATGAGGCCAAGTGTGGTGGTACCCGCCTCTAATCCCAGCTAGGTGTGGGGGTGGAGATAGGAGGATCACAGTTCCAGGCCAGCCCAGGAAAAAATTAAAAAGACCCTATTTCAAAAACAGATCGGAGGGCTGGGAAGGTGGCTCAGTGGTAGAGTGCTTGCCTAGCATGCATGAAGCCCTGGGTTCGATTCCTCAGTACCACATAAACAGGAAAAGCCGGAAATGATGTTGTGGCTCAAGTGGTAGAGTGCTTGCCTTGAACACAGTCCTTAAGGACAGTACTCAGGCCCTGAGTTCAAGCCTCAGGACTGGCAAAAAATGGAGGAAAAAAAAAAAAAAAGACAAGGAAGCCGGTCGTCCCAGAGGGAGCATGGCCATGGCAGGCACCCTGATCTTTGTCTGGAGACCCCCTTCAGGCTGGGAAGTAATAAACAGCTAAGTGTGGAGTGACTCACCTTCAGAGAGACCTGCTCCCGGAGCGTGGAGTTGGCATAGGCGAAGGTGCTGGCCATCCCAATGCACACAGCGATGCCTGTGGACAGAAGAGCCCCCAGGGCCCATCAGATACCCTCAGGTGCCCTCAGAGTGGGAGGGGAGGGAAGCATCTCAGCTCTGCAGGGTCTGGGGCCATGTGAGCCATTTAGACCCAGGGACAGGATTTAGGGTCCCTGTAGAGATATTTCATAACACCAGGTAAACAGCATGCACTGTGCAGCTGGGCAAGACCAGACTTTGAGTCCTGGCTCTGCCACCTCCACAGCGTGAGCCTGGGCACGTCGCCACACCTCTCTGGGCCTCTTCCCTCTTCTATAAGGGATGGAATCATAACAGCACTTATCTTGAATGCACAGTGGAAAGTAATCGCTAGCATTTAGGATGGCTGAGATTACAGGTATGCACCACCATGCCCAGCCAGATCTTTCTTGTGCCTTCGTGGTCTGTGTGGCCATAGAAGGTAGAGGCACGCCAGGGATTTTTCTAGGTCTACTCCAGAAAGGTCTATCTGCAAATGTTTCAGAACTAGTAACCCCATGGTCCTTTTTCCTGCCTTTTTCTTTGGTTTAAAAAACAAACAAACAAAAAACAATGGGCTGGGAAGGTGGCTCAGTGGTAGAGCGCTTGCCTTGCATGCTTGAGGCCCTGGGTTCCATTCCTCAGCACCACATAAGCAGAATAAAAAAAAAAGCCAGAAGTGGTGTTGTGGCTCAAGTGGTAGAGTGCTAGCCTTGAGCTGAAGAGCTGAGGGACAGCGCCCAGGCCCAGAGTTCAGGCCCCATGATTGGACCCCCCAAAAAATAAAAAAAAAGCAAGAAAAAAACAAAAAAAGTATAAAAATAAAAAAACTGGAGCTGGTGACTCACACCTGTCATGCTAGTTACTCAGAGGCTGAGATGTGAGGCTCATAGTTTGAAGCCAGCCCGGGCAGGAAAGTCCATGAGACTCTTATCCCCAATAAACCATCAGAAGACTGGAAATGGAGCTGTGGCTCAAATAGTAGAGCACTAGCCTTGAGCACAAAAGCTCAAGGACAGCGACCAGGCCATGGGTTCAAGACCCTTGACTCACCAAAAATTTAAAAAAAAATCAATATACTAAAACTAACAGTGCACACTTGAACTGGCACTTTGCTGTTTCAGACACTGACCTAGATGTACATGAGCTCACGTTTAACCTCGCTGTGATCCATGACAAACAAGTGCGCCTTCATCTGCATGGAGGGCCAGTTCTAGAACCCCCTTTGGATACTAAAACACTGCAGCTGGATGCCCAAGCCCCAGATGAAGGTCCTGGATGTCAGATGGGTGGTATTTGCATGGATCCTACACACACTTGGCCTTCAATCACCTCTGGGTAACTTTGAGTGCTGAGTTATGCAAATGTTATGCAAATCATCATTACTACACTGTGGAGAAAGCAACGAACGCAAACAAGAGTCTGTGCATCCTTAGAACTGTAGTATTTTTTTTTTTCACACTGTATTTTCCCCCAGTGGCGAGTTCGATTTACAAAGGCTGAAACCTGCAGGTAAGGCGGGCTGACTTGTGCGCTATCTGAATCCCCAATTTGTAGGTGCTGGCACAACAGTCTGGAGAGGGGACAGCCTGCAGGCAGCCAGCTAGGAAGGGCAGAGCGGGCTCAATCCCAGCCTAGCAGCTGGAGTTCCTCCCCAGCCCACCTCCCAGACTGGATGGACAAGAATGCAAGGGACCAGAGAGGCAAAGTCACTTGCTCCAAGTCATACAGCTCCTGGTGCAGAGATTCAACAGGGAATCACCTAGGATCCCACAGCCTTGGGTATTTTGCAAGTGACCCTCCCCCTTCCCCTACCTCACCCCCCCCCCAATGTCCCAGGGACTCACCGAGCTTATGCTGGAAGCACAGCTTGGCCAGCAGGATGAGGATGAAGGGCAGGCCCTTCTGTAGCCAGCACACCATGGCCTTCAGCTCGGATAGCGCCGGGGCGGGCGTGCCCGGCTGCTCGTCGGCCCCCTCATCCCCGTGTCCGCGGGGGTCCCCCACGCGCTGCAGCAGGGAGCTGCGGTGGCCGTGGTGGAAGTGGAGGGGCTGGCGGTGGTGGTAGGGGCCGCCCTCCCCTGCGCGGCCACCCCCGTCCTCCCGCTCTCGGGGCGCGGGCATCGGGATGAACACGTCCCCGCCACCTGTGGCCGAGCCCAGCACCAGGCCGGCCGGGAAGGGCCCGGCGGGGAGGCCACCACCGGCCAGGCCGGAGAAGAGAGCAGGAGGGGAGGCCGGCTCTGCCTTCAGGCCCTCGAACACACCTCCCTCATCCACGCTGGCCTCGGGGCTGAGCGGCTGGCTGCGGCCTCTGTGGGAGACAAGGCCGCAGGGTTGGGGTCGGTGCGGGGAGGCAGGGGCTTCGACACTGGACAAGGTCATCCCCAGCCTCCACGGGACAGGGGGATTGCAAAGGACAACTGGACACACGTGTCTGGCATGGGAGGGCCTTGCCAAGACAGCCCGTTCACCACCAGGCCTTCGTCACCCTTCACCCAGCTTGTGAGACTGTTCAGGTAATAGAGAATGGGTGAACGGCCAGGCGCTGGTGGCTGGCGTCTGCAATCTTAGCTAACTCAGGAACTGAGATCCAGAGGATCATAGCTCCAAGCCAGCCAGGGCAGAGAAGGCCAAGAGACTTGCTTCCACGCCACACCCGCCCCTGGATGCCATCCACCTGGTACCCAGAGCATGCTCACTAGATCCTGTCTGAAAGAAGGAAAGAATGGCTACGTTAATGCTCTGATAAGGACTGCAACTGGCAAGCAGGAATGGTTTCACCTGGTATTTTCCAAACTTGTTTGACCACAGAATTCTCTTCCTTCCCTCCCTCCCTCTCTCCCTCCCTCCCTCCCTTCCTCCCTCCCTCCCTCCCTCCCTT